GTACTTCACTGACTAAGCCGTCCCCCAGCCCCGTGTTCAGCCTCTGAATAAAAGCCAGTGGTTTCCTGGTTGGGTGACCAAGAAAAGGGTTTGGGCATACCCTGGCTACCAAACACCTGACAGTTTGACCAACTAGGAGTTCCTAATGGGTGCAAGGCTGGCACACAGTAGGTGCTCCCAAAATACTGTCCTTCCTCACTTTTCCCCAAAGGAAGACTTCCTTGGTCCCTCTGAAGAAGAGGTAGAAAGATCCTACAAGAAGGCCAGTTCCTCATCTGTAAAATGGGTTGCTTTAAAGATGAAATGCAAAATCCTAGGACGGCTCTTGATGATCAGTGGGTGGATGCAGGTTAAACTGGCTGATGGGTAGCTGTGTTGCTGTTGCGGCTGCAGCCAGCACAATGGGTAACTAGCAGCTCCCCACCCAGCCCCTGCCATCCCCATCCCGCCCTCCCTCTGTGGACTCCCAGCCCCTGGGAGCAGCCAACAGTAAATTTTTCCTCTCTCCTCATAAACCGAGCCTTCCTCTGCTCAGCCATCACCTGGCTGGCAGCGCTGTCAAAAAGACGGATGCCACATCTGCTTTGTTTATGACTTTAATTCCCAAGCCTGCTCCGTGCGCTCCTGGGGAGGGGCTGGGCATGGAGGAGGCAGGTGGCAGGCATTGCCCTCCTGGGCCTGACAGCCACAGACTGCTCCTCTCTGTGACCCTTCTCAGTCAGTGTGGGCAGTCCACGGGCCAGCAGCAAGTCAGCTCCCATCGTCCCAGGGAGGCTGTGAGGGAGGGCCGTTCCCGTCCCAGGGCTCTGGAGGCTGAGCAGGGTGGCAGGATGCCAGTTACAAATGAGGACCTGCTCAAGGTCACCGCGGCAAGTGCCAGCAGCATGATGCACGTCCGGGTCTACAAGCTCCCGTGGCTGTGTCGGGAACACGGTGCACACGGGTGCCTTCCTCACCTGCATCCTCACAGCCCTGTGCCTGCACCAGCCCTCTGTGCACACTCAAGTGGTGCCGAGACTTCTGGGCCCCTCGGCCCCTCCACTTCAACCGACCCCAGGGAAGAAGGGCCGCTTCTCTCTGTCTGCAAGGACCCAGGACTGGGCTCCTCTGTCCCCAGGGTGGCCCTCCGCTCCTCTTTCCTATCTCAAATAAAGCTGTCCCAGAGGACGCCAGCTTCAGTGCCACTGCGGGAAGCTGAGCAGCGACATCGGGGGAGAGGCCGAAGCCGGGCTCCAGTGCAGTGAAGAGGTGGGACACCAGTGCCACCAGGCTCTGGCTGCCTGGGCTGAAGAGGAAAGAGGCCTGGAGTTAAAGGGGGAAGAGAGAGGTGTGGGGCAGGGCAGGACGTCCACCTCAGCGCCAAGGCCATGACACTTCAGTCAAACTGTGCATCCTGCCAACTCTAGCACTGTGATGCTTGGGAGTGGCCTCAGTTTTCTCTTCTACAAAATGGGTGCTAGCCCTTGGGTTGGTACAGTCCTGAATCTTCTACTACAGAAAATACCAAGAGACTCGGGGGGGGGGGTTATTCCATTGGATGCTGTCCCTCCATGACATCCTGTCCATCTGCTTGTGCCTACACCAGTGACTGCCACCCTCCTGCCCTCTTATTCACAAAGCACCTCTGCCTGCACAGAACAACTCCCTGCCCTGGGAATGTTTGACAAACCCTGGTGCTCTGGATACTGTGGTTTCAGTAGCAGGAAGGCTGAAGCAGGAGAATCACTGCAAGTTTGAGACTAGCCTGGGCTACAGAGTGAGACTCGGTCTCAGAAACAAACAAATAAAAAACCAGACCTGGTGGCACAAGTCTACAATCCTAGTGCTTGAGAGGTGGAGGCAGAAGGGTCAAGAGTTCAAGGTCACCCTCAACTACATCAAGACTTTGAGACCAACCTAAGCAACAAAAAAACCCTGTAGCTGAGATAAAAGCCCTTGTGGTAGATGCCAGACTGCCCTGGTGAAGTCGGGTGTGAGTATTTACGCAATTCCCCAAGTGATTCCCGTGGACTAAGCCTCAAATCCAGTGCCCCCCGCAAGTGCCCATTAAAGTCACCAAGGGAGCTTTAAAAAGCCAATCCCACCCGTGATGAGGACCCTAAGCATTCCCCAGGTGGTTTTAATGCACAGCCAGGCTAGAGAGCTTCCGCTTTTTTCAGTTCAGAGAGGGCCTCCATTAGTGCCCTCACTTCCTCCTGCAGGCCCCTGGGCCAGCTCACATCAGCCCCATTTCTCAGAAGAGCAAGCCAAGGCCAGAGGTGGGGGGTCACAGAGCTGGCCCCAGGCACCCCGCAAAGCTCTACACACTCAGAAGGCCTCTGCCTGCATGCTCCAACAGGCAGCAGGGATTCTGGGATTGCACCTGGGCATCACCTCAGAGCTATCCATGCTGAAGCCTGAGTCTGGGCTCAGCCTGAGAAGTCCAGACCTTTATTCTGAATCCCCACAGACAGGAAGTGACTCCAGAGATCCCTGATCTTCACCTACACTGGAGCAGGATGCCCCATCTCACCTCACTTCCGGTTTGCCCACCCACCCTGGGAAACCATGATCAGGGTATCCACACAATGTTCCACTAACAGGGGCACAGGAGCAAGTGGACAGGACACATGATCAGTCTGCCCATGGGGGCCCAGCCTCCATTACTAACTAGACGTGCTTGTACTTGTGTGTATGTGTGCATGCTTGTGGGGAGGTGCACACATGTTCACGTGTGTGCAGAGGTTAGAAGACAATGTCAGGGTCATTCCATCCGTACCTTTCACCTTCTGTTTGCAACAGGGTTTCTCACTGGTCTGAGACTCAGCGAAGTGGGCCAGGCCAGCTGCGCAATAAGCCAGGGACCACCTCCTCCCATCCCCCATGCCTCCCAGCTCTCCATCCCTGGGATAACAAATGCAAACCATGCCTGGCTTTTCCTTTTCTTTGGATTTATTTATGGTTTTGCTTTATGTGCATGAGGGTTTTGCCTGCATGGATGTCTGTGCACCACGTACATGCAGTGCCTATGGAGGCCAGAAGAGGACATCAGACATCCTGGAACTAGAGGTACCAATAACTGTGAGCCACTCTGTAGGTGCTGGGAACTGAACCTGAGTCCTCTGCAAGAGCAATAAGTGCTCTTAATTGCCGAGCCGTCTCTTCAGTTGTGAGCTGTGGGGATCAGAACTCAAGTCCTCACATTTGTGGGGTGTGCTTTATCTCCTGAGCCCCACGTCTGTACTCCTTGCACAGCCTGTGATTGCTGTCTGAGATGTGTGCTGTGCACTCTCTGACCTGTTGTCTCTCTGAATTTCCATGGCCTATGGTACACTTGAAACGTAGGGGTTTCTAGAGTTGGGAAGGTGAAATGAGATCCTGGCAGTCAGAAACCTAACGTGTGTAAGCATGAGAGACAGGCTCCTGCAGGACACGGGAACCTCCACACGAGACCCACACACACCCCAGCTCAGGCCCACACTCCTGCACACACATATCTACACTGCCCCTCAACACGCCCACACACAGATTCCGCAGACCAGACACCAAGGGCTTGGCTGTGACCCTGGGAGGAACCACTGCCCAGTGGCTGCTAGTCCCTGTGGGCTGCAGCCACCAGAGGGCAGCATATTTCCCACTCCCAGACCCCAATTCCACCACTTCTAGCTCCCTCCTGCCCCACCTAAGGGACCCAATGCGCCAAAGATTCCTTGGGGAGTGTCTCCACCTCCCACCTCGCTGCTCAAGCTGCCCAGGCCACTCCAGAGGACAGAAGCCTTTCCCTCGGTGAGGTACCACATGGAAGCAGCACCCAGAACCCCAGGACACCCAGGGGGCTCCTGCTGCAGAGCTCTTCAGACCCAGAGCACTCAGGACCTGGGTCCAAATACATATGAAGCAAGAACAGGCTGCAGCCCCAGGGTGGACGGCTGAAGGTCAGGCCTCGGATCAAATCCTGCCTTAGCCCCTGGCACTTGTGGGAACTAAGATCCCTTCTCAGACCTCCCCTTACGTGACCCCTTTGGGGCTCAGTTTCCCCCATAGCACATCCTGTGGCTGTGAAGGGCTGCTGCCCTCCCCCACGGTACTTCCTCCTCTTTTTCAAATGGGTTTTGTTTCTACAGTACAGCTCCCTCTGACACATCCCATGATTTATTTATCTTGTTTATCGTCTGTCTCTCCATTAGAATAAAAACTCCATGAGGATTCAGACTCTTTTGTTCTCCATCCTCCACAAGAACAGGCCCAGGCCGTCAGTCCGTGGGCCAGCCTAACACTTGCTGAGTGACTGGGGAAGAAGCCCCTGGTGGGTCGGGGGGGGGGGGGGGGGGGGGGGGGGGGGGGGGGGGGGGGCTGGCGGCGTGCTGAGCGGCAGGAATGGAATCAGCTGTGCAGGTCAGTCCAGCACGGTGAACCCCAAGGCAGTCAGACGCCTCCGTGAGACCTAGGGGCAAGCTCCGCCTCCAGCTCTGCTCCCTGGAGAACCCAGCGCAGCCCTCCCACTCTGACCTCTCAGGCCACCGTGGGCTGCACCCTACTCTGGCCATAGCCCCGTTCCTCCAGCCCTACCAATTCCACCCTCAGGCCTTGACCATCGCACGTCCACAGACGTGAGGAGCAGCTTCTGAATACCGGTCCTTAAGCCCCTCTAGCTAGGCTCTTGGCTCTTCCAGATTTGGCCGAGGGGAACTGGGCTGGTGGCCACAACTGGAGCCTAGCATCTGGCCCCACAGCCAGCAGGCCCTGCCTCCACTCCCAAAGCCCCACCTTCTGCAGGCCCCGCCTCCCACAGGCCCCGCCTCCCACAGGCCCCCACCGTCATAGTCCCCACCTTCTGCAGGCCCCGCCTCCCACAGGCTCTGCCTCCCACTGGCCCCCCACCCCCACCATCCCTCATTCTACAGGGTCCGCCTCCCTGAAGTCTGGACCCCCAAGGCCCCACCTGTGCAGTCCCCACCCCCCACAGGCCCCCACAGCGCTGACACCCCCTTCCGCAGGCCCCACCACAGGCGCATGCTCACTGGTGCACTTCTTGATGTGGCTTCCCTTCTTGAGCGCATGGCGGCTCAGCTTGCAGTGGAAGTTGTCCTCCCAGAACTCGGCAAACCAGATGTTGCGCCTGTTGTTGTCCAGCGTGCGGCTGGAGAAGTATCGGTCGAACCCTGGCAGGGGACGGGGGTGTCAGGGCCTCCTCCCTGCCCTCCCCACACACACCCAGACACGGAGAGAAGCGGGGCCAGGAAGGGAAAGGGGCGTCCTCTGACCTGGGGCCAGGCAGCTAAGAAAACACAAAACACGGCATCGTTTTACGCCATGCAAAATGAAAAGAGCTTGGCCAGGTCCCAGCGGAGTGCCTGTGATTCAGGGCCACAGCCTGCATGGCGGAAATGCCCTCACGGGTCAGTCTGGGCACATGGAGGGCACCTGGTCAGACAAGGCAGGGGGTCACCTAGAGCAAACAGCAAGACCAGGCCGTGCACTTGCCCCCTGGTCTAGAACATTCCCATTGCTGACAAGCACCTGCTCCTCTGCCCTCTGCAAGCTGCCCAGCTCCCTTCCTGCTCAGGCAGCCCTGCCTCAGGACTGGCACTTGCAGGACAGCGCCCTCTCCTCCTGCCCAGAGACCCTCTGAAGCTCACCCCATGGGGGTCCAAATGGAAGTTAAGGGACTGTCTAAGCTGTGGGGCACAGGGAGATGAATTCTGGACTATGGTGGGACTGAGTAACTCTTTGTTGTGTGGACTATTATGGGATGTTTAATAGCATCCCTGGCCTCCTGCCACTAGAGTCCAGGGGCATCACCCACTCACTATGACAACCAACAGTATCTCCAGAGGAGAACCAGTGGCCGAAATAGTGACCACGCTTTAATCCCAGCACTTGGGAGGCAGAGGCAGGTGGATCTCTGCGAGTTCAAGGCCAGCCTGGTCTACAGAGCAAGTTTCAGAAGAGCCAGGGCTACACAGTGAGACCCTGTCTCGAAAAACAAAAAACACATGAGAACCAGTGTCTTTAAAAATGTCCCCACTGTCCCAGAGAGAAAGGGTACTTAAGTCTTGGGTTCAAATCCCAGCTCTGTGACTGGAGTCACAGAGCTGCTGGGAGGCTAAATGAGGACCCGGCAGGGGCTGACGTCTGCCACACCAGTCAGTCTGGGTGCTCACTGTGGCTCCGTGTGGCTGAGGTGCTGTGGAATTTTCCACTGCCTGTGCTGGCTGGGCCTCAAGGTGAAGAGAGGACACGCTATGTGACCTTCGCAAGTGATGGGAAGTCGGATGAAGGGGCTGACTCCTGAGGCCTTTCCAGGCCTGTCAACCCAACGTGGGCTTTCACTGAGCGGAACGAAGGCCCTGGGCGCCATCGTCCCGTCATGAGCGCAGCCAAGTCAGGCTATCACCAGGACACTGACATCATGCCTCACGGCCGGCAAGACTCCAGCCAGAGAGGTCTATTCCTACCCAGGACAACCATGGCCTTCGTCCCAGAGGAAGGGGTGTGGGCAAGGTAGAAAGGAAGGGAGGCAAGACAGAGCAGGGTGCCCAGACCTAGCCATGGGCCCTGAGCTGGCCACACCGAAATATGCTGCCATGCATGGTTTCCCTGCCGAGCAGGGAAAGGGTCCCAAGTAGGAGAAGGGTGGGGCTGGACAGGTACAAGACACTTCCATGACCGCATGCCTCTCATGTCCCACAACCCAAAGCAGCTAAGGCACCAGAGGACCAGTTCCGGGTCTGCACTCAGTTCTGCCATGCTGGAGGCCTCTGCATGCAGGGGGTGACGGGCAAATGAAGAGGCAAGACAAGACAGGGAACACAAGAGGGTGGAGGTGGTCAGCAAGCCATGGGGGTTGACGGGGGCCGTGATCCCCACCTGCTGGGCCTACCTCGTACAGACATCCTCTTGGGAAGGATGGTGACAGCACCCTCAGCCACCTCCTCCAGGCGCAGCACGGGAGCACTCTTGGAGCCCCAGCTGTCTGAGCCCATCCAGAAGAAGTGGCCCGTCTGGTTAGCCCTGCGTGCCGCCTCCAGAACCCTCCTGTGGGGACACAGCAGCCCAGCCCAGATATGGATGGCTACCCAGCTGCCCCCATCCTCCATGCCTATCTCCCAGAACCCATGGCTGCCCCTGCTCCCAGCCATAGAGGATACCCCATACACACCTGACCCCCTCCCAGCCTATGCCCATCCCCAGGCTGCACCTGAGCCCCTCACCCCTGATCCACAGCCCAGGGTTGCCTCTGCCAGGCCTCCTGCAGGCTCCCCAACTCTTCGGCCTATGCCTACCTGCATGTCTACAGTGACCTTTCGCATGCAGGCCCTCCAAAGATCATCCATGTCTCCCCAAATCCCTGTCTGCCCCACTTGGGTTCCAGATGATATCTGCCAAACCCCTGTCTTCTCAGAGGCATGCTCTCCGGGCACCAGGCCACCCCATAGCAAGGCAATCTTTCACATGGATGCCACAGGGTAGCTGCCCATCCACCCCCTCCTCAGCTGCTCTGGTGCAGGGTGGGGCCTCTTAGCCCTAATCTTCTCTTCCAGGCAGGGACCTTGATCAAAGGGCACAGGACCAGCCCATCACAGGGCTGAGGGGACCACATGGCACGCCACTGATCTTGAACTGGATGGCCCTCAAGCCCAGAGCTTCAGAGGGGGGAGGAGAAGGGTGGGAGTCCCTTGACCCTGCTCTCTTGGAGAGGAGCCAGAAACTCTCCTGTGGGAGCCAGGGACCCCAGAGACTGTTTCTGTGCTCCCCTGGTGAGAAGTAGGATGCAGGTCCAGGGCCCCAGGGGTGCTAGGCCTGGGCCGGCAGAAGTCGAGACAAGAGCAGGATATGGACTACTAGAGGGAAAATATTCTCCCCAAGCCCTAGAACCTGCCGCCAAGCCAGCCCATGGTCACCCTGGGCCCCTGCTCTCATCTCTCTGCCAACTCCTGGCCCCTTAGCAGGCCACCACCCACCTTGGGCCACCACTAATGGTAGATGGGGCAGGCACATGGAACCGCAGCCACAATCCTGTTAATGCTTCCTGCATCTGAGAAGCCGAGGAGGGGAGAGCAATCATCCCCCGCCCAACCCACCACCTGCATTTATTTTTACCTCAGTCCACTTCTGAAAACACAGTGGATTTCCAGAAACAGCCCGCCTCCTGCCAGACTGCCCATGTGGCTCAACAGAGTCCCATCCAGCCCCTCCGCTAGGGACAAGACCTTCACCCTTCTTCCCAACGGGAGGCTTACCTGAACTAGGGTGCCCTGGGAAGCAGGGGGCCCAAAGCGACATGCACAGCCGGATGTGGGTGTGGGACTGGTTCTAGGGGTGTGAGAGAGGAGCGGGGGGGGGGGGGAGCAAAGGGGACGGCCCAGGGAAGCCTGCAGCCACTAGGCAACCATTTCCCTGGGGGCATGGAGAGCTCTGCCACCAATATCTGGGGGACCTGTGTGCCTTAAGGAGGTTCAGACTGTCTCTGTGCATCCTGGAGGGCATCCACTCGAGACCATATCCGCGGGGAACCCCTGCCTGGGGGGATCCTTTCTCCTCCACTCCCGCACTGTTCCTGGGGCTTCTGTGTTGCTGAAACTCAGGACCCGGGGTAAGGTGTGGGGAAGGGTTCAAAGAGGGAAGTCAGGCCAACATGGGCCTTAGAAGGTTCTGGGGAGAGGGTCACTGAGCCTGGGGCTCACTTTCCTCTGTGAGAGCAGGCCCACCCCTCCCCCAGTTCTGCTCACATGCAGGGTTCGCTCTCAAAGGTGAACCTCAGGGACCTGACTGGTTTCTAGAAGGTGGGTCGAGCGAGAAGCAAGAGGAAAGGAGGCATGCTGGGAAGGGTCTGCAGGGACAGTCTGTCGAGGGCCCTTGGGCTTGTGACCTGTGACCCCTCTGCAGGACTGGAGGACACACAGAGGGACTGGCGGGGTCTCCATAGTCCTTGCACTCAGACACTCCTGGACAGGAATTGTTTTTTTTTTTTTTTTTTTTTGGTTTTTCGAGACAGGGTTTCTCTGTGTAGCTTTGCGCCTTTCCTGGAACTCACTTTGTAGACCAGGCTGGCCTCGAACTCACAGAGATCCGCCTGGCTCTGCCTCCCGAGTGCTGGGATTAAAGGCGTGTGCCACCACCGCCCGGCTTTGGACAGGAATTGTTTGTTGGTGTTTGTTAAACAGCAAAGAGGCTGAGAGAACTGAGGAACGTGGCTGAGGTCACCCTCCAGCAGGTGAACTAGGACTGTGCCGTGCGTGCCTAAGTCCATGAGGAGCTTCCCCCAAGTGTCCTGCTTGCCATCCTTGGCTGGCAGAATGGATGTAGGAAACAGAGGGGAAGGAGCCCTGTTAGAGTAGCTGGGTCTAGCCTGGGAGTCCACCACTCTGATTCACCCCTTGCCCTTCCCCAACTCCCTGGAGGGAAGTCCTCCAGTGGGATGTGCCTGGGCTACTGTCTGCCATGGCCACCCTACCTGATGTCATCCTCATTGGCAAAGATGATGATGGCCCTGGCATTGGATGTTTCCAGTAGGCGTTTGATGATCTTGTCAAACTCCCCGGTCTTGGGCTCCCGAGGAATCTTCACCGACTGGGCAATGCACACACCTCCTGTGGAGAGGCCCTGCCCATCAGCCTAAGCAGTCAAGCCTGAGCTCCCGACTCCTCCAGCACACCCCAGGAGACTGTGACCAGGGTCCCTCGCTTGACCCCCAGAGCCCCACGTCATGGTCACAAACACCAACCACAGCATGAATACAGAATATTTAACTGGATGTGACACTTAAGTACTCTGTGCCTCAGTTTCCCTGATGGAGGCTAGCAAGAGCCATACTGCCTATTTGAAATCTTGGTTTTACCAGTTATTGCTAGGAAAACGCAAAGCAATGGCTCAACCTCTCTGTGTCTCAGACATCACATCGATAAAGTGAGATTAGAAGGCGACCTAGTTCACTGGCTTCTTGTGGAATCTGTGAGTCAGCCTGAGCAAACCCGCTGTCTGGTTCACAGCAAGTACCAGCAAGCGCTGGCTATTTTTATCGGTTTCACCTGAGAAGGTTCTTTGAAGGATTAGATCTAAGAAGAGCCACCCTGGTAACTGGTGTCCCCACACCCATGTCCACACGCTTCCTACCCCTGTCCCAGAGACCCTGCACCCAAAAGGTCCTGAGAGTGGGCTGCATGTGCGGCTGCTGGCGTGGGCCAGGGTGAACATAGTGTCCCAGGATGTACCCCAGCTTTGCACCAGAGGACGTCCGCCAGGGAGCACTCAGAAGCCAGCCAGTTCCCAAGCCCCTCAGGGGAGCACAGGCAGACGGCCACGCCATTCATAGATTCATAGCCCACCTGCACTCTCCCGAGGAGAGCAACTGAGGACCACCTGTGCTCACCACTGCATGGGGCAGGCAAGGAACCTGGAGCCCAGACAGTCTGCCTGGCCCAGCCAGGAGCGAGGGACTCTAGACCACAGGCCCTCGAGGCCCTGGGTGGAGCTGGGGAACCGCTAATGAAAAGCACATGGGGAAGAACCCAAGAAGCCAGCCCCTTGGTGGGACCTCTGCCCTTCTGTAGGTCCACTCAGAACAGTGTCCTCCCCGGGTCTGACCCTAGCTCTTCAATCGAGGCCAATCCCATACCTGCTAGCCTATGTCTGCCTGGGCTTCCACCTGGTCCGTCTATACGGACGCAACCCTCCCAGGCATGAGGCGCCTCTACGTGGTTCTCACAGCGTGTGGTGTGAGCACCCCTTCCAGCCCCTGGCCACAGAGCGAGCCAGGGAATGGCCTGCTGCCCTCACTGGCTGGCGGCGTTCTAATGATGGCGGTACTCGGCTCCTGCCAACCGGCCATATGGTCTCTCTCCAGTTAGAAAATGGGCCAATGGCGACATGTCTTCTCCCCCATCTGGGGAGACAGATGGACAGGAGGAAGAGGCTAGGCCAGGCAGTGGGGCCCAGCCACCTGGCTCCAGGAGGAAGTGGGAAGTGGGGAGTTTATCTCCTACAGGGAGAACGTGTGGGGTTAAGTCCCACTCCTGGGCCAGCGCTGCGTGCTGTCCTGCCCTGTCCTGCCAGCTTCATTCTGCTGAAAAGGAGGTTGAGGGGGCAGTGGCCCAGCGAGAGGGAACGTTAGTCATAGGAAACTGAGTGCGTGTGTGGCCTTGGAGGACGTGATATTTACGGAGCATCCCACATAAAGTGATTGTGACCTAACAAAGGCCACATGAAGTCACTCCTCTGAGGAGTCACACCACATTCCCAGTAGACAGACAGGGAAACTGAGGCTCTCAGAGGTGGAGAGTTAGGTGAGGAGCTGAGGGTTAAAGCCAGGCCACCAGGCTGCGGGCCACCAGCTGCCCTGTCCTGTGTGTAGCAGGGGAGTTGGCTGTGGAGGTGGGAGTGCCTGGGCACAGGAGTGTGGGCATGCCTGGGCACAGACTTAGGTGAACGTTTACTGTGCCTCTGCGTCACGAGAAAGCAAGTGCCCAACAGTGTCATGACTTCACTGCCCACAGTCAACATGGCAGCTGGGGGAACGGGGACAGAGAGCTGCCTCACCAGGTCTGTCTTGGGGCACATGGCTCCAGGGGGTGGCAAAGCCCTGCACCCCTGCTTCACTTCTCTCCTGGTTCCCTGTCACAGCCAGAGAGAACTGGAGTGGCCGCTGTGGCCCAGCACGATTGAGGACCCACCCTGTGCTTGGCACTGCCTAGGTCTGGCCTCCAAGAGTCTGCACACTCAACCCTGGATAAATACTAATATCCCCATCTGACAGACGCGGAAACTGAGGCTCGGAGCTGCAAACAGCCTAGCAAAGGTCATGGTAAGTGAAGCAGCCATCCTGCTCAGTGCCCAGAGCCTCCATCAGACCAAGGTCCTCTCTGCTGAAGCCCTCCTTATCCAGAAAGCCCTCCCCTCCACAGCAGCCTCTAGGGAGGAGAGGCAAGGTTCCCACTGCCAAAGTCTCGCCCATCTCTGTGGAAGGGGTGGAGATTACACACGTGTGTGCACATAGTGTATGTGTGCACACCCAAGAGTGTCTGTGTGCACAATCACACGGCCTTTCCTCGGACACCTGAATGGTCCCCGACCACTGCTGCAGGGCACCCACGTCCAGCCCCCGTGCCTGCCACTTGGTACTCACTCCTCCGCTCCCTGGGGCACTGTCTTCCCTCCCCGCTCCATTGCCCTCAGGCTCCCAGTGGACTCCATCCAGAGCCACCGTCCACACTGCAGGAGAGAGCAATGGAAGCTGGCAGACAGACAGACAGACAGACAGACAAGAAACAGCCAACCCCCAGCTCTAGGCAGACACAGGACTAGGAGGGCTGGAGGAATCTGGGGTTCCCATGACCCCTCCAAAGCCCACCTGGGTCCCCTTTCGAGATCCCTCAGGTCATTCCCCAGACCCTACCCAACCTCCTACCAGGAAACTGGCTGCTAGATCCCTGTTCAGAACCCAACTGCCATGTGCCAGCTGCAGACCTGTGTCCTAGCCAAGTCAGGGCCTCTGTGTGCTGGCCAGAGGCAGATGCCACAGCCTCTCACCAAAGATATCTCTGATTACAATCAGCCCATGGGGCCTGAGACTCCAGTCCACACCTGGAGAACAGAGGGTCTGAGGCCAGAGAGGGACTTTGCCTTACTTAGAGACACTTAACAGCAGGGGCAAGCCTCCTCCACATGCTGTGCTGACCACTGCCTGGTGCTCTGAATGCCTAGGGATGGGCTCCCACCTCCCACACCTACTCAGACTCCTCCCTGCCTGCTCAGACTCCTCCCCACCTGCTCAGACTCCTCCCCACCTGCTCAGGCTCCTCCCTGCCTGCTCAGACTTCTCCCCACATGCTCAGACTCCTCCCTGCCTACTCTGGCTCCTCCCCACCTGCTCAGGCTCCTCCCTGCCTGCTTAGACTCCTCCCCATCTGCTCAGGCTCCTCCCCACCTGCTCAGACTCCTCCCCACCTGCTCAGGCTCCTTCTCAGTTTCTTACAGCCTGAATAGAAGCCCTGAAGGCTCCTCCTCTCCTCTTTTCCCTTTTTTGAAAAAATGCTTTTAAATGTAAAAACAAAAAAAATAATGAAAAGACAAACCCTAGGAAGTCAAGTGGAAAAACCTATATTGCTGCAGAATACAGTAGAGGGGAGAGCAGGGGAGGGCAGGGGAGGGTAGGGAATGGCAGGGAATGGCAGGGGAGGGGAGAGGAGAGCAGGGGAGGGGCCCCCAGGCCACGCTAGGCTCCCTGCAGGAAGCAGGACAGGCAGGAGGCAGTCTCACACACACATACACAGACACACACACACACAGACACAGACACACACACACACACACACACACACACGCACACGCACACGCACACGCACATACATGTGCGCGCGTCACTTTCTCTTCCTCTCCTTCTTTCCTAAGTCAGGCTGTCAGCAATCCCAGCCTCAAACCCGCTCCCAGGGAGATGGAAACAGTTCCTTAGAGGGTGGGTGGCTGACAGGGTTCCGCCATGGAGCGATGGGGCTCTGATAGAGTTCAGGCAGCAGAGCAGGGGTCCAGTACTGTTTGGGGTGGGGAGCACTTCCAACCCCCACCCCGGTGATCTCATCTTCCCCTGAGGCTGCTCCACGGTGAGCTATGGGTAGGGAGGGAGAGCTGGGCTTGGCTCCCCCGGGTCCAACACTGCACAGAGCCCCGGGCTGGCCAGACGGTGGCCCACTCAGGCCTGGCTCTCACTGTCACCCTGCCTGTTCCTGCCCCCAGACCTCCTCCCCACTAGGCACTGTCCAGCCCGCTTACTCTCTCACCCTACTCACCCCTGCTGAGTCCACACTATGTGCATGTGCACACACCAACATGTGTGACATCTGTGTTGCTTGCTCGGGTTTGCAGCTACTACCTCACTACAGGCCTCCCAGGGCTGCCTCTGACTACCTCTGCCCTACAACAGGTCTTTGGGCAGGTGGCCCCCCTAGCCAGGAGCACCCCAAACCAACTGGCCAGGGATTGTCCACTACCCACCAGCCCTTCACTCATTGGGTTCACAAGGGATGGGGTGAGCCAGCCAGGGAGCACAGTTTGCCTGTAATGACTTCAAATGGGTGCCCAAGCACAGAGCCATATTCTCATACACAGACAAGGCACAGACAATGACTGTCACATACACACAGATACACACGTCCCCAGTCAGACGACAGGCCTGCCAACCCTGGCCCTCACAAGGCTCACAGCCCCTCCCCCACAGCTTCCCCCATGCTCACCATCCATGCACACTCCCTCAGGCCTGTCCCCTTCCTCGCGGGGGGGGGGGGTGTCTTCCTGAGTGCCTTGGTGGACCCCACACACTCCGGGGTCTGCTGGGAGCTGGGGGTCACGGTAGCTCTCTGGAGCCTGCCCACACACTACAGGGAGCAGAGCTGGACTGCCGCACAGCGCTCCAGGGACTAAAGCAAAGCCCTCATCCTCGATGTCCCCTCTCGGCCCTGAGCCGTGTCCCTGTGCGGTTAGAGGTGCACAGGGAGGTAGAAAGGAACCCAGGCACTAAAGAGCAGCGGGCCACTGTGACACAGGAGGCCGAGAGGGCACAGACGGTCCTGGTCCCATCTCAGACACCCACTGCTTCCCACGTCACTCAGCAGTAAGAACGTGACACATATCCACCCCGGATCAGGCCAAGGGCCCAGGATGAAGGAGGACACATGGGCCACCATGCAAGCCCTACTGTCCCTGGCTAGCCTGCAGCAGGGCTCAGAGTTTCATTATTCATGGTGTTGGGCTCTTGGGAGGAAATCCATTGAATGATTGCCCTAATATCTTAACACAGATGCATTTAGGCAAAACACCTTCAGATCAAGGAAGCAAGGAAAAATATAGAAAAGAGAAGTGCTGGAGACAGGTGTTGGGGGCGGGGCTAAGGGGACAGGATGCTGGCAGAAAATTCGTGGGGGCCCTGTCCGACCTTCCACCCGTATCCCGATTGATGGAGGAAACCCACCTGCTTCCCAGATTCGCTGCAGAGAGGGCTGCGATTCCCCCAAGACCCTCACATGCTCATAGCTGCTGAGTGCAGTCCCAGGTCTACTGACCAGTTCACTGGTCTGCCTATGGACAAGGGGGGCTCTGTGGCTAAAAGGGCCCCTGTCTGGCCAAGGCTGTCTCCATCAGCCACACCCACGGGTACCACACAGAACCAGACCTCCACTCCTTCCTCACCTGCCTCTGCCTCCAGAAACAGGCGGACAGGAGCTACACCAGAGCTCTCCAGCCCCTCCCACCCCACCCCCACTTTTTAAAGAGGACCACTTCGTCCAAGTCACACATCCCCTGCCACCCCAAGTCTTTGCCATTGTGGTCCTGAAGCAAGCAGCAGCCACCCCCCCCTCTGCCCAGCCCACGAAGCCTGTGGATCTGACCCCCCCAAAAAAAGCTTCCCAGCTCTTGGCAATGGCCCAGTCCTGCCCCTCTGCTCTCTCTAATGGCACTTGCCACCCCTGCCTTGTGCTGAGTAATTTGTCTGCCTCAGAGAGAGGGCTGAGCCCGGGAGCCAGGGTTCAAGTCCCAGGTACCACTTCTTAGCTCTAACTTTGGACAAGGTACTTAATTTTCTTTGGATTTTGTCCATCACAAAGTGTGAAGAATAGGTCATATAGGAGAGTGTGGTAGCACACACATCTATAATCCTAGCAATCAGGAGGTTGAGGCAGGAGGATTGCCTTGAATTCAAAGTCAACCAGGCCTGCATAATGAAGGGGGGAAAAAGGCAGACTGAGCAAGCAAGCACAGGTAAATGGCACAGGACATTGCCTGGTGCACAAACAAAAGTGCCCCATGCTGTCCTCCATGAGAGCCCCTCAAGATACATCATCCTTCCTCTAACTCCCCGGGGCCCAGCAGACAGGGGAGCTCAATTAATAATAGTTCAATACAGCCAGGTGGTGGTGGCAGTGCACGCCTTTAGTCCCAGCACTTAGGAGGCAGAGGCAGTGGATCTCTGAGTTCGAGGCCAGCCTGGTCTACAGAGTGAGTTCCAGGACAGCCAGGGCTACACAGAGAAACCCGGTCTGAAAAAAAATAGTAACAATAATCCTTTCCAGTTGCTGTCTAGGAGATGGGAAGTCGGTAGGCTGGTACTGGAGATTCCTGTGTGGAGAGAGACTCCAGGTGCCCCTGGCTAGCTCCACACCTTATAGGAGCAACATTCAGGCAGGAGAGAGCAGCGGGGGTTAGGGGCGGCAGCAGGGAGCCTGTGGTCTGGCCAGAGTAGGGTGGGCCGCTGCAGACCGGGATGAAATATTTAGAAGCCCACATCCCCGGGAAGTGGAAACTGACAAGCAATGAAATGTTGAGATGTAATTACGCAGGCAGCCCAACCATGTCTCGCTGCAGGCAGTTCAGCCCTGAGCCTGTTACACCAGCCACTGGTAAGGAAGTCCTCCTGGGCCCTCCCAGCCAGCCCTGCCCTCTCTGCAAGCCAGGCTAGGAGAGGACGGGCGGGGGCAGCTAAGCAGCAGAAGCCGGGGCCTGGGCAGACCCTGCACCGTTCCGCATTCCCTTCCTGGTGGAAAAGGGAGCTGTTGACCCATGACCCAGAAAGGGGACCATCAGCTGGACTTGGTGGTGGCAATGAGGGTGACACAGGCCCAAAGCAGCAGACCCAGCTTGGGGGGATGGGGAGCGGTGGCCCCAGGAGCCCCGGGTGCCTGGGGCTCTGGTTAGTTAGAGCTGATGGACCAGGTCAGGAACTGATCCATCGCAATCCCGGCAGGCCTGCAGCTGCTGGGAGAAGGCTTGGAGTCCCGAAGCTAGCCACCAGCCCTGGGAGGGGAGAGACATGCTAGGCAGGGAGGGAGGGGGCTTCAGTCCTCAGTCCTCCTGGGTGGGGTGGGTGGGATCCGCCAGCTCCTCTGGTTTGGCGTGCGACTTTCCTGTCAGATTGGCACAAGCTACGGGACAGGGGACTTCCCCAGAATCTGACACTGAATATCAGTCGAGAGATGGAAGATGGGATAATCGCTCATGGCTCTGAGAACACCAGGAACAGAAAAGGACTACCCAGCCTTGAGAGCTCCTTTCCGATCTAAACCAGGGTCCACAGAACGACTTCGGTTTGCCCCAGACTGACCAGCACGAGCTAGGAATGCAAATCCGGTGTCCAAGGCTCACCAGGCTGCCTCAGACCCAGCCAGCTGACACTCAAGCCCCAGCTACAGTTCACCCTCCCCTGTGGGCCCTAACTCACAGAAGGGCCAGCCGCCCCTCCTGCTCTCCAGCTGTGCTCATCCCCTCCCCAAGTCCACTCCAAAGTGTCCTGGCGGGGGCCGACAGGGGACTCCCTCTTGCTGCCCCCCCCTCCCCGTGAAGAGAAGGGATGGTCAAGAGCCCTGCCTGACTACTGCTCAGTCGTCCCCACAGTGCAGGTGGGTACTGAAGAATGAGAGAATGCGCAGGCCCGGTTCACTGGCTGACATCTGGATCACAGCTGGACAGTGGTCCAGAAGCCCCTCCCCCATCGCCAGCCCTTCCCTACTCACTCACTGTCTGTCTTCTGCCCCCCTCCCTCTCTACCCACTACCCCGCCAGCCCTTCATGGCCACACAGTACTCCTTAGACAGTTAATACTGCCTGTGCTGCCTCACTGGCCCCTCCCAGTCGGCTCACATCCTGGGTACCAGGACCATTTCAGAGGGACCGGAGCCTCCCCCCTGCCTGGCTGCCTCTGCCTACTGTTTCTGACTTAGATCCTGCCCTCCCCTCCCTCTTCCCCTTCCCCTCCCTCCTCCCCCCCTTCTTCTCCTTGCCCCCCTCTCCTCCCGTCTCCTTCCTCCTCCCCGCTCCCTTCCTCCATTTCACATCTTCTGGGTGACTAGTAAGTCATCCTGCCCATCTCCCCACATCCCTAAATCTGTGGCACGGGCCAGGAAGGACTTCAAGGGCTGGGGAGGGGTGGCAAGGGCCTCAGGGCCCTCCCCAGCCCTCCTGCCCCACCCCCATTCTCTCCTTCTGATTGTCACCTTGCCCCGCTGCTTCCTACACCCAAGGCTTCCCTCGGGTCCCAAGGCATCGTTAGCTTCCTTCTGGCTCGTTAAAAATTTGCATATAATTTGCATAGAATGGCCACATGATCATTCTGTCTATAGTAAAATAGAGCCAGATGTAGCACATGTAAGTCAAGGAGTGTAAAGACCCAGGAGGAGGAGAATCCTGAGTCTAGGAGGCCAATCGCTCACCCTGGTTGGTACGCCCAGAAGCAGTCCTGAACCCTCCAGTCTCCCTGGGCCTCATGGAGGCTGGTTTGCCTGTTTTTATCATTTCTACAGAAACAAATAAAAACTGGAATTATCTCCACTTCAGAGACACCAAGAGCCCGAGAGGACCAGTGGTCCATCCACACAGGGAAGAGCCGGGCAGGCCTGGGCCACACACTCTGCCTGGGTGCCTGCTCCATCGGCCCGCCGTCCAGGACACCCTCTGGGCCAGGCCCAATCCTGGGTCTCCCAGAGGAAGTTCCTTCCTGTCCCAGCCTCCCCAGCCTGCAGCCGCAGCCCCTCAGCCTCGCGCACTGATTGCTGGAGACAAGCGCTTGGGCCCTTTCATCTCCGCTCCGAGCGCGGCCAGACCTGCCTAGTCACAGCAGTGTCCAGGAATAAATGTGTTTGGATAAGACGGAAATTGGTAACAAAGCCGAGGGAAGGGCTCGCCTCTCACAGACGCCTGGCGGGCTCAGTGTCTGTAGACCGGCCAGGAGCAGGCCGTGTGCTGCAGGCTGGAGCCAAAGGGCTGCCCTGGAGCCCAGCCCAGCCCTGGTGACACTCTCCATGGTGCTGAAGCTCGGGCTGGGCTCAACAACCTCCGTCCACGTGAACCCAGGGCCACAGCTTGTGAGCTCGTGACTAGAATACAACCCCACCTTCTCTTCTCTCCGTGAACCCATGGCCCAAACCCTCATCTCTTAAAAATATATTGGGGTGTGTGGTGTGTCTGTGTGTGTATGTGAGTGTGTGTGTGTGTGTGTGTGTGTGCGTGCACGTGCATGTGTGTGTGTGTGTGGTGTGTGAGTGTGTATGTGTGTGGGCATGTGAGTGTGTGTATGTTGGTGTATGTATGTGTGTGTGGTATATGTGTATGTGTGTGTGATGTGCGTGTGGTGTGTGTGTGTGGTATTGTGGTGTATGTATATGTGTGTAGTGTATGTGTATGTGTATCTGTGTGTGATGTGCATGTGGTGTGTGAGTGTGTATGTGTGTGGTGTATGTGTGTGTGGTGTGTGTGTGGTATTGTGGTGTGTGTATATGTGTGTGGTGTATGTGTATCTGTGTGTGGTGTGTGTGTGGTGTGTGAGTGTGTATGTGTGTGTGGTGTATGTGTGTGTGGTGTGTGAGTGATGTGTATGTGTATGTATGTGTGTGTGTGGTATTGTGGTGTGTGTATGTGTGTGTGGTGTGTGTGTGGTGTGTGAGTGTGTATATGTGTGTGGTATATGTGTGTGTGGTGTGTGAGTGTGTATATGTGTGTGGTATATGTGTGTGTGGTGTGTGTGTGGTGTGTGAGTGCACACAAGCAGAGGAACCATCAGGCATCCTTCCCTAGCCCTCCCAGCCTTGCTCTGTCACCTCACGGAGCCTGCAGTGGGGCTGGAGGCCAGCAAGTCCCTGGGTCTCCCTTCCTCGGTGTTGGCACGGGAACCTCTTGCTACCACGCTCGACTCTTCACGTGGTTCTGGGGATCTGAGCTGGGTCCGTGTGCTTGTTTACTCTTACACACTGAGACAGCTCTCAAGCCCTCAAGTCCTCGTTTCCTGCAGACCACAGGAGTGGCCTTCCTGGGGCCCAGGCCCCCAGTCTATTACCTACACAACAATCAGCGCAAGCCCATTACCCGTGAGCACCCTCACATCTCTGCTCGTGGTGCTCAACGACTCCAGTCACACCCCCCGGGGCCCAAGAGGCCCCAGCTGATAGTTCCTCTTTTCCCCTCACTCATCCTGCTCCTCGTCATGACTGTCCCCAAATGCCAGTCTGGCTCTTTCATGGGTAGAGTCTCAGAAGTCTAGAACGGGCAGGCTGGCTGAGGGGCCGGCCAAGGCAGCAGAGTCTGTTCAGGCTCAAGTGCTCTGAAGAGAAGTGGACAGAGCAACGAGGCAGAAATGGCTTCAGTGCCCGCACGGCCCCTTGCTGGTCCTACATAAAAAAGAACTGACCGATGGGGGGGGGGGGTGACTAGGGTCACATGGTGTGTACCGCGCAGGAGCAGGAAAAAACTGCTGGCATGCCACACAATGCCAGGCCTAGAGCAGGGCCCCAGGGAGCCTGGCACGGGAACTACGCCTGCAGGCTCCTCCAGCCCTGGGACAAGGCGATGGCTCATGCTTAGCCAGGACTCCAAAAGCTTAGCGGTGGCATGGGCGGGCCACAGGAGGAAGAAGCCAGGGTAGATAAGTCAACGGACAGGAGAAGGCCGGCAATCTGACTGGTCTGGAGCCTCTGTCAGCTGCGGCTAAACAACCAGAAGCAGTTGGAAGGGACCCCTCCCGATTCCACGGGTGCCTGGAAGACACAAAGGTTTTTTTTTTTGGGGGGGGGGGGAGAAGATAAACTTAAAAAGCTTTGGGTTTCAAAGACCTGCTAGAACGATGGGAGGGTGCTGAGGGGACTCTTGACTGCATGAGTGCCTGCGACCTGGGGTCTGGGGCCGAGGATCACCATGGCACCCGGCCTCCAAGCAGTGAGGTAAGATGGAAAGCTGATGGACGCGAAGAACTCAACGGTGGAGTCCAGAGGTCCCGGCCCAGCCCTTTCACACCAGTGATAAAGCCAAGGCTCACAGAGGTGCTGTGACAGGCTCAAGGCCACACCACTACCCAGAGCCAGGTCTAGAACTCAGAGTGACTCTCAGTCCCGGAACCTCACTCACAGCACTTCTGGGGGGGGGGCACACATGCGCTATTCCCCTTCCTGTTAGACTAAAGAGGAAGTGGAAGCCTCAGGTTCAAGGCAGCAGAGTCGTGAATCTGAGCCCAGCCTCCTGCCTGCCATAGTACTTGGGCTCTGAACCACCCAGAACTGAGTTGCACAGGCCAAAGACAAGAGGGGACTCTAAACCCCCAGACATCTTCAAGTACGTTCCTCGGAGCGTGCACATGGCTTCTGTGGACGACAGAGGCAGCAAATTCAGACCAGGACAGCCCAGCAAGTGACAGCTGCCTCTTGCTGCTGTCACGGTGCACTCATCAGAGGCCGGCAGAGAGAACAGGGGAAGTGGCAGTACACACACACATACACACACGCACACCCACAAGGGCCTGACGACATCTAGCCCTAGGGACTCACCAACCTGAGAGGTGTCAACATCCTGCTGCAGGCCAGAGCATCAGAGAAATCAGAGCGGACAGGCAAAGTCCCCGAGGCGGGCCATGCAAGCATGGGGGTTCATCTTCGTCACACCGGATTGACCTGGCCATCACTAGCAGTCACATTAATGCCAACACCTTGCCAATCCTCCGGCCTGGAGAAGACACCAGCTGGGGCCTGGTGGACCCTGCCGCTCAGCAGGGCCACACTCAGTGTCCGGCCCCAGACACTGAATGGAAGACATGCTGGGTCTGAGGCTGGGGCAGCCTCTCGGTTTCTGGGAGGAGGGGACAGGCATGTGGCAAAGCCCTCTCTCCTTAATTCTCCAAGATGGACACAGCAGGCCAGGCCTCAGGCCACCTCCCCAAGGAGTAGGCAGTCAGTGTTTTGGGGGGTCCAGAGCTACTGAAGCCACAAATAAGAAGAAACCCCAAGATAAAGACACAACAGTCCCTCCTGTCTCCCTCTACCCTCGGCTGAACCTCCCAACAGAGCAGCCAGGGCACCCATATAGCCTTCCTGAATCCAAAGATGAAGCCCTACAGCACCCCTCCGGATGCCCACTCCTGCCCCCTCTGGATGCCCACTCCTGCCCCCTCTGGATGCCCACCCCTGTCCCCTCTAAATGCCCACGCCTGCCCCTTCTGGATGCCCACTCCTGCCCCCTCTGGATGCCCACCCCTGCCCCCTCTGGATGCCCACCCCTGCCCCCTCTGGATGCCCACTCCTGCCCCCTCTGGGTGCCCACTTCTGCCCCCTCTGGATGCCCACTGAGCCCCTCTGGATGCCCACTGAGCCCCTCTGGATGCCCACTCCTGCCCCCTCTGGATGCCCACTCCTGCCCCCTC